ATAATCTACAAAGCAGTACAGTAGCGTGATTCCATGGGCAGCGCTCGCAGCGGCATGCTTTGCGTTAAAACAATACACCAATACACTTTTGTGTTTAAAACGCACCTTTGTTGCAATATATCTTATAAAATGATGCAAAAATGCCAACACTGTCACTTTCGATTAGTTCGATTAGTTAGTCTTACTGTAATTATCAATATCAATCATGAACGAGTGTATCGAGTGCAAGGAACCAGTTACTGAACGTCAAGAAGATGTGTTGTGTGAAGAGTGCGAGAGGTGGCAACATCGAGTATGCGGGACTGGGATAACGCGAGAGCAATATCGGCAAGGGATGGAAGACGGTTACCTTGATTGGTCATGCAACGAGTGTATGTTAGAGAGAAATCCTGTTGAGCCACAAGAAGATGATTTGGAAAACCCTTTTATCCACAACCCAACCCGGTGGTACAACTTGAAGAACCGGCGATAATTTTTTTTTGGTTGGTAGGAATACAAATACCATGAATAAGGATTAACCTTTGACCTCTAAGTTGACCTCTGACCTACGTATGAGTACTCATGGATGTGTGTTATAAAAAATGTTTATGTCAATACCAACCAACCAACCAACCATTTATGAAGGGCACCCTCTATAGTTCACTTTGGGAAAAATATGGAACGATACGAGGTTGCTAGCCTAGGGGGTGGGGAGGGATTGTCATACCCAGGGGATATGCAAATGAGGTGCCCGGGGGTGCGGCGACTGTTCCCCTCCCCCTACACTCTCTCTCAGTGTCAGACACCCCCCACCCCTCAGGCTAGAAAATATATATAAAATATATAAAAAACTCTATGGAAACATTTATAATCTGTAAAATTGTTTCTCTATAGAAAGTATATATAAAATGAATACAAACGCTATGGAAGTGTTTATCTTTAAATGAAATATTAAAAATTATTTTAAAAATCATATCTATAAAAAAAATAATGTATTAATGTATATGAGGGGGAGCGGGTCTGCCCCTAAACTTATCCCTCACATATTCACCTAACAACAATGCTTTATATGGTGTCAGCAACATTTATCAACAGCCTAACGGAAGCAGTAGTATTTTGAATTTTTCTCTGGACGTGTCATGATGTTATTCAGTTATAAACATACTCCTTGGAAGTATTTTAGCAGTACTGTATTGGTAAGAGTTGGTTTTGTCTTATTGTTTTATTATTTAGTTAGTTTACCACTCTAGCAGACACGCTAGCCTCCTCCTAGGCCTAGTAGTTGTGGTAGATGAAGAGGCCTGGCATAGCCTTAGGCCTAGCTGTAACGGTAATACTAGCCTAGCTGCTGTACAGAGACAGACAGAACTGAGGTTCTCTCTAGGCCATTGAGGATATAGGGCTAGGCCTAGAACCTGTTGTTGGCCTAACCAAGCTGTAAGTTAATTGCCCTATAGTCTAGCATGCCATAAGAAGAGTGGTAAATTGCATTTGGGCAGTGTCCTCACTAATGTCCATATTTATAATTGCCCTATAGTCTAGCATGCCATAAGAAGAGTGGTAAATTGCATTTGGGCAGTGTCCTCACTAATGTCCATATTTAATAAAATAATGGGTTAGGGTTAACCGGGGAGGGAGTGGTGTAAAGAATTGTATCATTATTTGCAGAAAGTTAATGTATTAAATCTCTAGGCCTATACTAACATAAGTGGTGATTTTATTTCAGGATACTCAAGTCTCAGTTACTATTGTAATTAAGTGAAAACTCAATCCCGTCAACTCAATCTTGTAGTTGAAAGCATTAATGTTTGTTTAAAGACGTATCTGTGAAGGAACAGAAAATTACCTGACATTCTATAGTGCTTTAATAAAATAATCGGTTTACGGTTAACTAGGGGGGGGGGGGTGTAAAGAATTGTATCATTATTTGGAGAAAGTTAATGTAATCAAAAGGCCTATACTAACAACATAAATGGTGACTTTATTTCAGGATTCTCAAGTCTCAGTAACTACTGTAAGTGAAAACTCAAGGAACGTGAAGGAACAGAAAATTACCTGACTTACTAATAATAGGTGAATATAATGTTTTATTGACGTTTTATTTTTACTGTCCTGTACTATTAATTATTAACAACATGCTATAGATGATGCTGTAGTTTACACGATAGAGTTTAATCAAATTTAATGTGTATATATTAGGCCTATATAGGCCTTAAGTGATATTGAAATTGTAATGTAGGCTAAGCAGTTTTTAGAACTAAAAAAAAACATTTTTTTTTTATTAAAAGAGAAGTAACTGCTAGTCTGTCAATATCTACATATATGTATATTACTCCTATTTCAATACAATAATAAAGGGATGTAATACATTTAATAGCGGTTTCTATAATATGCGCTCTATATATTGTATAAGTTTACCATTATTATTCTTTTTAAAGATTTTATTTTGTTATATCTTTCAGCAAGAGTGAACTCCGAAAAATGTTAGTACAAGTCACAGTGATTCAATATTAGCAAAACGATTATAAATGAAGGGGTATGCTAGTAAATGAGACCCTAGGGAAGTACTGTCCCTACCGTATGATATTTGTTGGTGTTTTAAATTAAAGAAATTATGGTTTGTATATGAACTCATAGTGTATTTTGTAAGTTTCCAGAAGTTGATTAAAGCCATTTTTACCAAGTGGAACTGGGACCATTGCAAACCAATTGGAATTGGGGCCAGTTAAAGTTGAAGACCAGTTGAATTGTCCAAAAACACACAACACCCACTTTTTTTTATATAGAATACACAGAATTTCTATATAAAATCGTTCAATTTATATACACTTTCTATACAATTGTATAGAGTTTCTATTCGCATATTTAATGTATTTTTATAGGTTTTTTCTATAAAATGTTTATAGATTTATAAGTGGTTTTTATAAAATTGTTTATTGATTTTCTATAGTTTTTTAAGGTTTTTTTTATATAAAATTTTCATAGACTTTCTATAGATTTTTAATAGAACTTTCATAGTTTTTATATAATTTTTATAGATTTGTAAGTCTTTTAATATAGTTTTAATATATTTTTTATAGAGTTTCTATAATTTTTTTATATAATTTTAATAGATTTTTAATATAGTTTTAATAGATTTTTAATAGATTTTTAATATAGTTTTAATAGCTTTTTAATAGACTTTTTATATTGGGCTTCTATAGTTATTTCTATAGAATTTTCATAGACTTTCTATAAATTTTTAATAGAATTTTCATAGTTTTTTATATAATTTCATAGATTTGTAAGTCTTTTAATATAGATTTAATAGATTTTAATAGAATTTTCTATAGATTTTCTAAACAATTATGCTATAGACATTCTATAGTTTTTTTTTTGATAGAATTCTATAGAATTTTTTTGTATGGGTGTAGATTAAAAGTAAGACCCAGGCTAAGACAGCTGATCAGTCAAGTCCACTGCAGGAGGACATAACATCTACATTAAGCCAAATTGCCCTTGATGCATCATCTCTTGCCACCACTGCTAATCTGGGAAAGCCTACACCTTCTGCTAGTGAGTCAAGTACCCATGAAGACAGTGAAACATGTTCATTAAATCTAGGTACCAAGCTTATTGAGTCATCTCTTGCCACTACTGCTAATCTGGGCAAGCCTACACCTTCTGCTAGTGAGTCAAGTACCCATGAAGAGAGTAATGCATGTTCATTAAACCTAGCTACCAAACCTAATGAGTCATCTCTTGCTACTATTGCTAATCTGGGCAAGCCTACACCTTCTGCTAGTGAGTCAAGTACCCATGAAGACAGTGAAGCATGTCCATTCAACCTAGCTACCAAACCTAATGAGTCATCTCTTGCTACTACTGCTAATCTGGGAAAGCCTACACCTTCAGCTGGTGAGTCAAGTACCCATGAAGACAGTGAAACGTGTCCATTCAACCTAGTTGCCAAACCTAATGAGTCATCTCTTGCTAATACTGCTAATCTAGACAAGCCTACACCTTCAGCTGGTAAGTCAAGTACCCATGAAGACAGTGAAACATGTCCATTCGACCTTAGCTGACACAGTTGTGAATCTTTTCAGTGATTCTGAAGTTTCAGATCTTAATGATTCTGATTATGTACCTGACTCGGCTACTGATGGTGATATTAGCTGTTCTGATGACATCTTGCAGATTCCAGAAACTAGACATTGAAAAAAAAATTCCAAAGTTTCTAGTACTTCAAACAGAGGTGGATATTCATATCCCAATTTTGATAGTGATGATGTTAGTGTTGTGTTTGACTATGAACCTAGAGATTCCATTGGGGCAATCAATCAACAAGCTGAACCGTCTTATAGTCAAAATTCCAAGGTCTCTAGCTCTTTATGTGACCAATCTGACATCAAAGTCTTAAGCACATCAAACGAAATTGGAAGACGCAGGTGGGATAAGCCACAGTTCTGTCCTTTCTGTATGAAGGCTCAAAAGAAGTTGCCGCGTCATCTTACTACCCCAGAGCATAAAGATGAACCACAGGTTAAGAATGGCTTGCAACAAAAGACCCCAGGGAAAGGGGAAAGCTCCTTACACTCATGAGAAATTATGGGAATTTTCTCCATAATGGTAAAGTCCTACAGGAGGGTAAAGGTACACTCATAGTTGTTTATCGACTCATCATTCAAGGCTGATGCTCGAGACTATTTGCCTTGCACGAGATGCTATGGCTATTTTGCAAAAAGTGACCTGTGGAAACACAAGTGCAGTCAGGCAACTGATGAATCGGATGCTACTGATGAACCCTGTAAAAAGAAACGAAGGACTGGACTTACGAAGGCAAGTAGAATGATGCTGCCTAACACTCCTGGCGTAAGCAAAAGAACACATGAAATTTTAACCAACATGAAGGATGACAACATAGCTAGGGTGGTCAGGAGCGACAGGCTAACGAAATTGTTTGGTGAAAAGCTCACTTGAAGCATGGTCACACCAGAGACCAAGAGGTGTATATAAGGCAGCGGTTACGTGAGATAGCACGAATGTTGTTAGAATATAGAATTCTCACAGGGCAGTCAAATGCTCAATTGGAAGACCTTATACGCCCAAGGAAATTCCATGACATAGTTAAAGCTTCTGGATTCAGTGGAGAAAATAACACCTACGTAACTCCAAGCCTGGCTTTAAAGATTGGGCACAGTCTAAAAACATGCACTGAGATACTTCGAGGAGAAGCCCTTATGTCTGGTGATGAAGTGGTTGAAAAAAACTGCAGAGCAGTTGCCTCATTGTATAGTTTGCACTGGGAGGGGGAGGTGAGCCACCATGCTCTCAGAACCCTTGAAGAAGCCAAGCGCAACAACCCCAAGCTACTACCGCTAACAGAAGATGTGGTGAAGCTATCTAAATACCTTCAAAACCAGGCAAAGACAAATCATGAAGTGCTACTGAAGTCTGGGGCTGAAATACAGAAAACATGGGTGAAATTAGCTGAAATCTTGCTGTCTCAAATAATCGTCTTCAACAGAAAACGGCCTGGCGAAGTGTCAAGAATGACATTGAATGATTATAACAAATGTGTCAGAGGGGAGACATGTATACTAGATGGGGCCCTGTCTGTAGTTGAGAAGGCACTGTGTAAGAATTTTTGGAGAGTTGAAATAATTGCGAAACGTTTACGCACAGTTGCTGTTCTCTTCACCACTAAAATGAAGGCAGCTCTTGACACTCTGAATGAATGTAGAAAAGAGGCAGGCTTAGAACACAACAAGTACCTGTTTGGTACACCAGGATGTTGTGGTCATTTGTGTGGAACAGATACTCTTCGAAATCATTCAGCAAGGTGTGGAGCAAAAAACACGGAAGTTCTGCGAGCTACCAGGCTTAGGAAACATATTGCCAATGTGTCGCAGATTATGAACCTTCAAGAGAACGAGTTGGACATACTCGCAGGCTTTCTTGGGCATGACGTACGGACACATCGGGAGTATTACCGCCTACCAGACTCAACACTGCAGGTAGCTAAACTCTCTAAAGTACTGTTAAAGATGGAAAGTGGGGACATCCGTGGTCTAGCTGGAAAAAGCCTAAAAGATGTGCAAGTTGGATCTGATGAAGGTATGAAATTTTACGCAGTGTTGGAATTGAGAACTTTGTATCCAAAACAAGTATCAAAATACTGCATTTATGGTTAAAATAACATTTTTTACAAGGGGGATGACATGTACAATCATACTCACACATTTTCAGACAATTAAAAAAAATTTAATTATTAGAGAAAAAGTCCAGATAGCTTTTACGATTTAGTGCAGCTTATTTCCTAAAAGTAACTTTCATAAAGTGCATCTGATGTACTCAACTGCAGAAAATTCTTGTACAAATTCAAAGATTGCCTTATCAATAATTGGTTATGTTAAACATTTGAAAATATCTGATTTTGAGAAAGATGAATTAATTAATGTAATCAAGCAGCAAATTGTGTCAAAATAAGCATTAGACAAGAAACAATATACATAATTTTTGGGACATTTACATTTTATTTACACACTGTATTGGTACTTATGATTCTTAAAAAAGAAATCCATTTAATTACATCTCTCTTTACAAACATACATAATATATACAATAAACATAATTATTTTTAAAGACAAAAAGACCAAAAAATAAAAACTTGCGCTTTAATATATACTAAATTGAATTAAAGAGGGTAAAGCACTTAACTCAAATACTAAGATAATTCATAATAGTAATAATAATAATGATAATAATAATAGTAATATGATTTGAAACAATAAGTAAGCACAAGTAGTCATTAATTAATACAATATGAAATTACTGAAGCAATGTTTAAAATTTAATATTTCGCTAATAAATATTGTTTGGTTTTAAATGAAAATATTTTTTTTTTGATGAAATTGATTTTAAGTCTATTGGTAAATTATTCCAAAGTTTTGGGCCTTGATAAGTTATATTGGTCTGGGCGAGTGAAGTGCGAAATTGAGGAATTATTAAATTAAACGGGTTGTTAAATCTAGTATTTTTGGGATGAGTTACAACTTTAAAATATAAATCAACAGTATGTGGTAATCTAAAATAAAACAAATCAGATATAAAGATAGTCATTACTGCTTGATGACTACAAATTGAAGTACCTGTCTTCCCTTGCAACTTAAGTTAATTCAAGGTTTATGCTTGTCATCATTTTTTACAGAGTGTCTGTGCAGTTCTGATAATGCAAGTGAAGCAAGCGAATCTGAGTTTTGCACAGCAGTGGTAGAGGAGGAAGGTAACATCTGAGAACTTAATGTGTTAATGTGATTTGTTTATTTTTAAACTGTAGAATTCCTCTACTCTTAAATTTAATGCATGTACAACTAAGTGGCGCAAAAGATCTATCCTTGCCTTTCATTTCATGTGCGAATTTGTTTGAGTGCACTTTGAGCATTGGGTTGTTAGTCCCAGTCGGATCGTATGGGTTTTCCCCAGGACGTCTTTCTGGGGTATCTAAATTCTTCAATTCTTTCAATATAAATTCTTTCATCATCCTTTCATTTCAAAGCAGTCATCATTAGAATAGTATATTAATATATATATATATACCCCACTAAAAAAATCGCCGGGATCCCAATCGGGATCCCGGCGGGATTTTTGGTCGGGATTCCCGGTCGGGATCCCGATC